TAAGAACCAAGATCCTCATGTAATGGTACAAGATCCCAATGATGAATATAACTGTATTGTGTACATAAAATGTACCAATAAACTTAATGGGAAAAAAAGATGAAAATATAAGTGTAGCTTATACTTTCAAAAAGACAACTAAGATGTGATGTGATAATAGCTGTATTAGCAGTGTAAACAAAGTACTGTGGGAAGCACCAAGATGAAAACAATTATTTAACATTCAAGGAGTTAGGAAACATCCTCCTCTCAATTGTGGCCCCAGAACACAATTCCTTTTCTTGTTGCTGACCCAGACTTGAATTTAAGTATAAACATTGGTTACACCAGTCAATCCCTGATGTTAAAATTAACTGAAATGCTCTTGCTCAATATCTCCAAAGAGGCTCACATTCCCTACAACTATTGTTTAAATATACTGAGCATGTGCCAGACATATAGCCATATGCCCCTGACATGAAAGATTCCATTTCATCATCAAAATCACAGTGGCAATAAGAAAAGTGAGACAAAAAGCAAGTACATTTTTTGTAATTGCACAGTTGGTATATGATGGAGATAATATTTAAATGTAGGCACTCCTGTAAGCTGTCATATCTGTGACAGCACTGGTCACTCTGCTGTGTTATTCCTGGCTCACTGGCCTATCTGTTCTTCTATAGAATAAAAGAAAGCTGTGAGGGCAAGAATTTGACTTTTATTTTTAACTATTGTATCTCTAGTGCCTAAATTTGTGCCAAAGAATGGTTTAAGTAATCTGGTTCTTAAAAAGCACAAGAAATTTGCTGGAATTTGAGAAATAAAGAAATTTTAAATTCTTTGACTCCATACTTGCTTGGCTGGTATTAGAGTGAGTAGTAGCAGGGAAACCAGGTGGAAGACTGTTTACAATTACCCAGGTGATCGGTATGTACTAGAATGGGGTAGGCAAACATTTCTGCAAAGAGCCACAGAGTAAATATTTGAGGCTTTGTAATTCCTCCACTTTACCATTGTAATGCCAAAGCAGTTACAAACAACACAGAAACAAATGGATAGCACTGTGTTCCAATAAAACTTTATTAACACAAACAGTTGGCACATGGCTCATAATCAGTTGTGCCAATCCCTGAAAAAGAATAGTAGTCATGTAACCAGAAGAATCTATGTGTCACGCACTGGGAGAAATGAATGCAAACTAGAGATACACATCAAATAAGATTGGTGACTAACTAAAAGCATGAGAAAACAAAGAACTGAAGACTATCTTGGTTTCCTTGTCATCATGATATCAAGGGCATCAGAGAAGATAAAACTGTATAGAGGTTGGGAATACAATGTGAATTCAGCATCCAACAAAGATGTATACGGAAAGGAGCATCCAATAATTTTAAAGTTAGAGTGAATAGACTAATACATGAAGTGTGATCAACAAATATGGTGAATGTTTACATTTTTAAAAAAAATTTACATCAAAAGGTACGTTCCCACTAATTCCCTTCAATATACTCCTCTCACTTCAAACACACGTATCCCATCATTCTTGTCGCTTTCTAAAGAAGCTCTAGCATCCTCTTTCCTGTGTGTCTTCAGTTGTATTGTCCTGGCTGCCTCGATGGCCTGAGTCAATCCCAAACATTTCACTTTCATGGTCATTTTGCCTTTGGGAAAAGCCAGAAGTCACATGGTGCAAAATCTAGTAGATAAGATGGATGAAGACACACTATAATGTATTTACAAACCTGCCTTTCCATTGAATGGCACTCAGCAGCAGCATTCACCATAGTTTTGATACTTCTGAAAGGATTTCTGGAACTGCTTCAGAAAGTGGCAAGAGGGATAGGATAAGTGTGCATGAAGTGACAGGAAGAATTTTAAGGGAAATTAATGGTGATGTGTCCTTTACTGTAATGTTTATTTTTCAATTTAAACATTTACCACACATTTTGATTACCTTTTCATATAGAGAGAGTTCCCCAACACAGTTTTATAAATCTTATAAAACTTCAATATTACCCATTCGAGTCCTTACATGTAGCTACTCAAGTCTGCCTTTTATTGTTGATGATTCATAGTTTGCCTCCATTCTTATCAGGAGGGGCACAAGCTGAAGTGTTTAAGCAATGGTAAGTCACATAGTCCAGTTCTCAATTTAATTTCCTAAGGAAAAATTGAAGGTACTACTTATTAAGGTCTTTGGGAACTTAGTGCTTAGAGGAAAAAATCCCTTAGAATTTTCCAATGAAGGAGGAATACAATAACTGCAGACAAAATTTGGTTCCCCCCTGGCACCTTGGATAAAAGCCAACCATGGATTGAACAGTGCGCCAAAAGATGAAATTGTCCTGTGGTATTCAAAGTGTCTTTAGAAAGAAAAGGGAAAGGTGTGCCTAGATGGACACTCGCTTCTTTTAATTTAGTCATATCTCTTTGTTTTATATGAAGGCCCTTATAGGAATATTTATGTCACAAATCTTCTTTGATAGTAGCAACTTGGGGAGGTAGCAGGTGGATGTTAAGGGTAGAATTAATGAAGAGTACACACCACGAATTATTTTCAAGCTAATAGCTTATCAACATCCAGATCTCTGAGCAGGCACAGTTTCTTCTCTCAATGTTTAAAAGACATTTGAAGGAAATAAGAAATTGGAGGAGCTTCATCAAACAACTGCCCTTTTTGTAAGACATAGTGATAGTCTCTAAGCACATAGAGATAGGGCTTATTAAAGTGCAGGAAGAACCTTTGCCAATACATGCATCATCAGAATTTATAAATTGGCTTGAGAAGGAAGGAACAGAACATCAGAATCCAGCTCCTTGTCATTAGTTTTCTACCCTTGCAAAAACATGAGTCATCCCTCTTACAACTCAAGTGAATTCATGAGTTGTTAAGAAATTCTGGAACTTTAGAAATGCCAATAGTTGTGTAGAGGATGGAGTCAGGGCTACAGAACCAAACTAGTCTGCAGAATTGTGCTCTTCTTGGACATAGTTTAAATAATTGGGCTCAAGACTAAAGCAAGCACAGGTTATTGGCCAAGACCTAGAAGAGACCAGATCTTGTGTTCAGAGAAGAGATATGGCAAACTTCAGATGAGATGTCACTAGCGTGTGGGCAAGAGCTTGGGCAGGGTTGATTAGAAAGCCTAGAGAGCCAATAAGAATACAAGGTAAAGTTCAGACACCACAGATATGGGCCAAGGAAGGCTGAAATTCAGTGGGTTAATAGGTTCCCAGGATCCACCCACTGATACGATAATAGACAAGTTCATAGTGCAAGCATGCATGCTTCAGCCTTGTAGTTCGGGCTATAGCTATAGCGAATGCTGGATCAGCTGTGGTGTCAGAACAACTTGGAGAAAGCAAAGGCTGATACTTTTATTCTCCTTCATCTCCACTCTTGAGGAAATTATTCAGTGTCTCCATAAATTAAGATAGCAGTATTGGTTACCAAATATTGGTTCTTACTATGTGTTGTACAGGGCACTTTTTCTATGTTTTCTAATCTTCATCAGTCTGCAGGATATTATTATTATATTTGCTCTTCTGTTTGTTTTAGTTTAGGAAAATGAAGTAAGGGAAGGTTACGTAGTTTACTCTAGACTAAGTGACAAGGCCTGAAGAAAAATAACTAGAAGAACATTACTTCTGCCTTCTGGAAAGCCAGTCTGATTTGGCTACAAAATCGGTATACAATATTCACCCTAATAAGAAGATCCCATAATAAAGCATTTAACAGCCTCCCTAGGAGGTAAGAGAGATCTTTTCTTGAAGAGATCAGAAAGGCTTCTCAAAAGAAAGTGCCCCATGATATAAAATGTTAGGTCTTAGCCTCCAGCCTTGTTAAGAGGAGGCCCCAGGACCAGAAGATGTTACTGTGATGGTTTAGTGTAATAAGAGGAAAAATGATGCCTCTAGGAAGGCCTCTGGAGTCAATCAGGAGAACCTGAGCTACGTACCAAACAGAAACATAAAAGTGAGGTAAGAAATGGCCAAGAGGGGCTTGCATGAATAAAGTAAGGAGCAAGGGACTTGTGCATATAAGAAAACTGCATTCACCAAATGATGGACTATTTCTTTTGTGCAAAGATGTTATTTTAACCCACTCATTTTACATGATGCATCATCTAATGTTCATTTAAAATGGTGCACCCAGCCAGGCACTAAGTTTTGAGGATCTGTGTGGATTCACCTGGCATTTCAAGGGAGTAAGAGTATTCTAGGTACAGAGGAAGACATATGCTAATGTGTCTAGATGAACAGTAATTAGGGAACAGCAAGTATTTTGAAAGAGCTTGAATAAAATATATGTGGACAGGGAGTTGTATAGGGGTGTGAGGGATGGGCATCGTGTTGACAGCCTTCAGGTTAGCTGCTGGGGCTCCCTCGGGGTATTCTGTGCTCTGGTTTGTCACTCACACAGCCTTGCAAGGTCCAAGAACACACAGGAAGTGGTGGGATGCTCTTGCAGAAATCAGGCAAGCTAGAACTGCAAGAGGAAAACTAGAACTTACAGAACCTATTGAAATGCTGTCATTGTATTTTCTACAATCTTTGTAATTAACTCTAACAGTTACACACAAAAAAACATGGTATATATGCCTCAGTTCACAGTATTGAGTTTTCCATGCTAAGTGTCAAATCTTATGGAGGAAATTGAATATGTTGGTTAAAAGTTTTCAAAAAAAAGTTTTCACCACTTACTATGGTGAGACCTTGGAAATCAATCTCCCTATGCCCCAGTGATTTTCAGCAGTAAAACTGGAATGCCTGTGGTGATATTGAGAAGTCTAAATGAGATACTATGTACAAAAAACTTGGAATGATTCCTTGCATACAGCAAGTCCCCAATGAGTGTTAGTTATCATTGTCATGTTTAAACTCTATTAGTGTCCTTTATTACTCTATTTGTGCCATAGTACAGATGAGGAAGTAAAACTCAAAGAGAAGGTGTATAAACTTATCAGTGGCACAAACCTGGGCTCTTCTGACTGCTGACCTGACACAGGAGAGAAGAGATGTATGGCTTCCATTCAGCTCAACTTCCAATTTCAGTATGAGCTGTGAGGAGCTATGGAGGTGAATACCATCGTCTAAGACTTGCCCACTAATGGCGTCTCAAAGGGCTTCCTCAGCCCAACAGAGATCCTTCTCCTGATTTAATTCATTACACTGCTTCTTGGAAGCCTTTTCCTGCATTTCTATCTTCCCTGACATTTAATTTGCAATCCCAGGAAGCCAGAAAGTTTCACATAAGCAGTTGCCTAGGCTCCCAAAGCAGGGAACACTCCCTTAACTAGGCAACAGGTATTTCTGGCAGGAACCTCAGTCAGTTGACCTGGCAACGTGTAGAGGGAGTTCAGCTCTGCTTCCAGTTTGCTCTGCCCAGAGCTACTGGGCAGGTAGCACCAGGTAAGCAGGAAAAAGGAACATGTGGGTTCACCACAGTTCTGAGAAAGGCAGAGTCCTGTGTCTCATCAAAACTATTGCTAGCTCACATTGACTATGTGATGTTAATCATAATAATAAAGCTGGTTGTTACTACTCAGTTTCATTTACTTTGTCCTACACATAAGGTTCTGAGCAGATGAGGATTAGGGCCAAGTCAATGATTTTCCTATGGCTGCTCTAATAAATTGGCTCAAACTTAGTGGCTTCGAACAGAGTTTCCCACAGTTCTGGAGATCAGAAGTCCAGAATGGGTCTCATTGGGCTAAAACGCATGGAGCTTCTTTCTGGTGGATCTAAGGAAAAGCTTGTTTCCTTGCTTTTTCCACCTGTTAGAGACTATCATCCAGCTCAAGGTTCCCCTCTTCAATCTCTGACTCATGCTTGTCACTCCAACCTCTTCATTTATGGTCACAGCTCCTTCTCTGGCTCTTCTGCCTCCTTCTTCCTCTTATGAGGCTGTTATGATTACATTGATTTTTTTTTTGGTACCCGGGATCGAACTCAGGTCCTTGCGCTGCAAGGCAGGCACCGGAACCACTGAGCTAAATCCCCGGCCCTATGATTATACTGATTTTTAAAACCTGGATAATATAGGATAATCTCAACATCAGCTGAATAGCAACAATGATTCTATTTGCTGCCTCAATTCCCTTTCACCATGTGTTGTGGTTTAGATCTTGGTGTCCCCGAAAAGCCACATGTGTTTGGAAGGTGATTGGATCAAGAGGGCATTGTACTCATTAGTGGATTAATCCACAGGTGCCTTCATTGCTGACTTGCTGTTTAGGACCTGGGGTCTGGTTAGATGTCATTGGGCGTGTGACCTAGAAGGCTTCATCTCCCTCCCCAGCTCCTCCCTTCTCTTTCTGCTTCTGCCACCACGATGTGAGGAGCTTTCCTGGGTCAAACCCTTCCACCATGACTGTCCTGCATTGGAGCCAGCCATCTACAAACTGAAACCTCTAAAAGTCGTGAGCCAAAATAAAGGAATTTTGTCCCAGTGATGTGGAAAGTGGCTGAAACGCCCTGCACCCTCACATATTCCCAGGTACTGACCATTAAGATTTGAACATCTCTGAAAGGCATTTGTTTTGTCTACAATAGCTTATACAAAATAGGCAAAGCCAGGACTGGGACCTAGATACATCTGATTCTGAAGGCTGTGCCCTTAACCATTAAAAACCACCTTCAAAGAGGAAATGACTGAGAACGGTCCTAGTACTTCCTACCAAGTGCAATGCCCCAAATAATTTCAAGGACTAATAGCTTATGCTGTTATTCTGATGTAGACACTGTAATTTTACTGAGCACCACAACAGTGTAAAGTGGGGAACAGAGAGCCTATGATCAGCCTCATTTTCAGTTTAGGATCAGAGGAAATGAGTGTCATGATCAGAACCTCGCCTTTTGTGAATGACAGAGCCATCCCCAACTCTGGGATTCTGACCTGGAGTCCTTGTCTGTCTCTTCCTGTGCAGGTTAATATAGAAAGAACTCTGGTTTCACAAAGTCATTTATGGCCCGACTCAATTTGCAGTTACTTCACATTCTGGCTGTGTGACACTCAGTCCCTCAACCTCTGAGTCCTTCTCACTTCATATGTAAATGGGAAACAAGAACACCCACGCTGAAAGCTTGTTAGGAGCCAGAGAAATAACGGCATAAAAAGCCTGGAACATAACAGGTACATAATAGTACTGTTATTGCACAATTACCAACTGGCTTCACATGCTTTCCAAGGACCAAGTGCTATAGTTCAGAGCTTGGGTAAATGTGCAACCACGCTGCTTCCTCAGTGCTCCAAACAGAGAGAATTCTTATGCAAATTTAAGAATCTGCCCTTGTGGAGAGGAGCGATCTCCTTTTACAACTGTCTGGGATTTGTATGGAGGTGGAATTCGGCAGTTACAGAAAACCAGTAGGAGCCTTCTGAGCTCACAGAACCTCCAGGTACATCCAGTTTGTTGGTGGCATTTTTGATTGACTTGTTTGTTTTGGAGGGGTTTTTTTTTTTCCTGTTTTTGCTTGTATTTTTTTATTGTTCTCCCAACTCTAGAACATCAGCTGGAAGTGCAGTGGCTGCATCTGGAGACCCTGTGCCCCAGTCCTCGGGCTGAGCTTTGAAGAAGAGACCTCCAGCAGCACTGGTGAGTACAGAGATGGCCACGGAGACAGAAATGAAAGCGGCAGAGCACCGCGAGGGCACAGCCGAGGCTTGTGGAGACAGCGCTCCAACTCTCCAGACAGCAGTAAGTCTCTGCTTACCAAAATCATACGTCCTCTCTCATTCCTTTTAGGAAGCTCCAGTGTCCTCCTCTATACCCAATGCCCTTTCCTCTTTGCCTAACACAAGACATTATTCCTCTACTTGAACTGTAGGATTTGCGGTAGAGGTTGTGATCTACAAAATTCTTGTGTTTTAGGATCTTCCCCATCCCCAGTTTCTGAAGACTCAGCAGAGAAGTTTGTACTCAGGGCCCCATGGGCCATGTTGAAGGTGGTTGAAACGCCAAGAGTCTAATGTTGAGGAGCACGATTTTCTTTCCGTGTTCACTCACAGAGCACCAAACACCTGGTCCTCTGATGGACAAAGGATGAGAGCATGTTCTGTGTGCAGCCAGCAGGCCCTAAAAATGGGGGCGGGGCAGACTAAGGCCACTGCAGAGCACTCAGCGAGGGGCCTGGGGGTCACACGAGTGTACAGGAAAGGCACAGACCCTGAGCTGAGGGGTCTCTTATGGGGAACTTTGTTTTGGTCCTGGTCTTGGTTTGCTCACTTCTAAATGAGGTTGGAATAAATCAGAGAATGACATCAGGCCTTGGCATATCTAGTCCACAGATGAGATGTCCACCATATTGGCTGCCATATTGGACTTGCTTCTTCTCTTTTCTTCTTGTATTCTTTCTTCCTTCCTTCCTTTCTTTCTTTCTTCCTTTCTTTCTTTCTTCCTTCCTTCCTTTCTTCCTTCCTTCCTTCCTTCCTTCCTTCCTTCCTTCCTTCCTTCCTTCCCTTGCACAAACCTCAGAAGTGCTGGCAACAGAACTCTCTACCTGCTGCCCATGACCCAGTGAGCTGGGATGGGAGTGGTCCCCTGGCCCATCTGTTCTCTCCAGTCATCCTGGACCGCTCACTTGCTGTGACCTCTCTTACCTGGAGCTCAGGTGCTGTACTTCATCAGGCAGTAGTCACCTCACTCACTCACCTTTAAGATTAGCGGATATTTACTGTGCTTCTCAATTTGAATCTTCTGGCTTTCTGCTTATTTACTTAATTCTGTGAGGAAGTCAATATACCAATCTCAATGCTAGGAATTTGGGAATATAAAGGATAAGTAAGAAGTAGCCCTTGCCTTTAAGGGAAGAGCTAAGGAGAGACTACTTATAATAACCTATTGAAATAATGTGATAAATGTTAACAAGAAGGAAGGCATGAAACAAAAGAGAAGAGACAAGAAGGCTTAATGAGGAACAGAAAGGTTTTGCCACAGAGGAGCACTGGGAAAGAGGGAGAGAAAAGAGCTCTGCCAGAACATACAGATATTTGGGTACGATGTAGGTTCAAAGTAGTTGGTGGCTGAATGTAATGGAACCAAACTGAATTCTAAGATGATGAAGTCATGAGTGCAAAGACAGAGAGGTGAGTGATAATGATTTTCTTCTATCTTAGGAGCTGAAATTATTTGAGCAGGGTTGTGGCATAGAATTAAAATCAAATCGTATGGGACCTCATGTGTCATACTGATAAGGTTTAATTTATTCAGAAGATAAGAGGTTACTGTAGTAGAGGATGATGCAGGGAGCACATGAATGCATTTGTGGGGGTTTTGAAAGCTCACCATGTCAGGAAAGTTAGTGGTCAGCTACAGAAGCTTGGATCATAGATGATGGAGTTGTAAGACCACTGTGACCAGCATAGTCAGAGATCTCTATGTTGCAACTGAGATCAACTCCAAGTCAAATTCAGTTAATGGTTAAGCAAATGCATTGCTTCCTGTGATGGAAGTAGAGCAGTAGGGTGGGCTTCAAAGATGGCATAATGTAATTGCTCTAAATCCACTTCTTTCCTCTTGCTTGGGCTCTGTGTCATCCCCCGGCTGGCTTCTCTCACAGGGATCAATGGAGCCAGGCTTCAAAGCATCACTACAGTTTCCCAGCAATCACTGTTTTGCATCTCACTGTCAAAATAGACCATGTGTCTTTATCTAGTCTTTCAGCCTAGTTTCTTGAACTGAATCACTAGGATAAAGTGTACAGAGTCACTATCAGGCCTATCAGATTTACTCCTGCAATTGAGAAGCTTATCCTGCATTACTGTCATCTTAAGAGGAGGATTGCACAGAAATACAATATTTGAATTATTATTAGGAAAAGTAAAGTGATGCTTAGGAGGCAGCTATCAAAACCAAGCTTTGAATTATATTAGTCAACTTCCCATCATTGTGACAAAACACTTGGGATAATCAGTTTTTAAAGGGGAAAGGTTTATTTTTAGCTTATGGTTTCAAAGTTTTCAGTCCATGATGCTTGGCCCTGTTGTTTTGGACCTGTGCCAGCAGAGTGCACATGGAAGGAACATGTCACAAGGGAAGTCTGCTCTCTTCAGTACAGGTGGGAAGCAAGCAAAGAGAAAGGAAAAATGGCTCCCAAAGTCCCCTCCTCTAGCCCGTACCCAATAACCTAATCCCTTCCCCATAGGCCCTTCTCACATCACATGGGTTCCACCTCCACCCAATAGCCACAGGTGGGAGCCAAGTCTTTGGGAAATATTTCAAACCCAACTACAGCAGATGGAAAAGTCATTAATAAAAGAATGTCAGAAATGAGGTAAAAGATAGGATAGAGAAATGCTAAGAGATAAAAGAATCAAGACCTGGTCATTGATTGAATATGGAAGCTGAAGGAAACAAAGACAATGAGAAAGGATTCTCAATATTTGGATGTGGATAACAGATCCCTTAAAGATGAGCATATTTGAAGTAAAGAAAATGGCCATTGAAAATGTTAGTCAGCCTTGATTTTTAGTTACTCAAGTGATGTATAGGATTTAATTAGATGGCTGAGTCTGGATCACAAGAAGGAAAATAAGGCTAGACGTAAAGATTAGGAGTGAGATGGGGATGTGATCAGATTCTGCAAAGACAGGGCGATGTGAGGAAAGCAACTTCTGGATGTGTTACAATAAAATTGTTCTTTAGAATCACGATCCTTACAGGAGGGCAGCTCTCACCTCAGGGATGAAAGAGATCCTACTAATCTCTGAGGGCAGTTTCTTCAGCTTCCAATCCAAGGAGTTCCAGCTGAATGCCTGTGAGAGTTGATGAACAACTTCATCACCTCCTCTTAGTGCTCCTTCAAGTGAGCCAAAATGCATTATAGCTGCCACTGATGTCTGCCCTCTGGGAGTTTGCAGTGTTAGACAAGTGTTCGGCCTATTTAGGACATGAACTGTGTCTGAAAATATGCCCCTCATACAAGAGAAGTGAGGGGTTTCTGGTGTCCAGAAATATCAAAAGGCAGACAGAAATTTGACTCGTGCTTGGTAATATGTGGCTTGCCTTGTCAAGATATTAAATATTAGAGAGGTAACTCATCATTGGAGATTAATGAAGTCACCAGAATCATTTAGAAAGCAATTGAGTGCTTAATTTTAATTAGAGTTTTGATTGCTACTATCGAAACAAGAGAAATTCACACCCTTCACCCCCTGAATGTTTTTCCCATCGGATCAACAATTAGTGTGTCAATCTTTAGTTCATTAGTGGGTCCTTTTTGAGATTATACATTAGATGGTTTCCAAAGAATATAGTGTTTTGAGCAAGATATACAGGTTAACACAATCCCAATCAGGAAAGCTCCTGGAATCAAAAGATAAAATACAAATGTAATTTTTTCATGATAAGCTAATATAATGAAAGAAAAAGAAATAAATGGCAGGAGCACAGATAAGGTTTTCAAAAAAAATGATTATATGCGTGCAGCCGCAGGTTAGAATGTTTTCATCAGACTGGCAAGGGGACAAGTTAGTGCTCCTAAATGAAAGGCATTCATTTAAAAAGAAGCAAATACAGAAATTTTCTAATGTGTGTCACAGAGAAATGTAGATGGACATAAATTGTCAATTAGCATGTGTCTTGAAAGATGAGGGGCCAGAGGCCAGAAGGCTCTCTTTTTCCTACTTTGTCCTCCCAGGAAAGAGAAAACAGAGGAACAAGAGGAAAGATGAGAAGCACAGCAATGGAGATTATGCAAAAAATATGCATTTTGCTCCTCAAAATGATGTGGGAGGTGTAATCAGAATATATAGTGAATGATAAAGCTTCAGAAAATTGATTGCAGTGAGTGATACATCGCCATTAATCTCCCTCGCAATACTCCTCCTCACTTGGAGCACACTTGTCCCATCTTATCCCATTGTTCTTGCCACTTTCTAAAGCAAGTCCTCTTTTCTGTCTTTATAAGGTATAATAAAAAGAGATAGTGAATGCTGCTGCCAAGCGCCCTCTAAAGGAAAGGCAGCCTCATAAAAACATTCAGGAGTGTCCTCATTCACCTTATTCACCAAACGTGGCACTGATGAACTTTTGGTTCTTACTCAGAGTCAAAATGACCATCAAGGGGAAATGTGTTCAATCAATTCAGGATATCAAGGCAGCCATGGCAGCATAATTAAAGACACTCAGGAAAGATGACTTCCAAAATTGCCTCAGAAAATGGCAAGAATGATGAAATGAGTGTGTTTAAAACTAGGGATAGTATTGTGAGGGGGATTAAATGGCCAAGTATCTTTTACCGTCATCGTCTTTATAAATGTAAACTTTCACTGCACTTTTTGATCACATCTTGTACACCAAGCTAAAGACCATTATTTGAGTCCCACGTGACCTACCTAAAATGTTTGAATAATTTCTTTATCTCTGATTTCAGTTTCTGAAAAAAAAATCTTACTTCAAATTTGTTTTCTCCATTCTCACAGGACTTGGTGAGAATAAAAAAATTAAGTAGCATGATTTATTTATTGCATAACAAATATAAACATCCTGTTCTGAGAACTTTGTATACATCACCATGTTTAAGGGTATCTTGAGTAATGGTGATTCTGGTAACTAAAATGCATTTTCCGTTTTCTATTAAGAAAGAGTAAGTGTGTTGAAACATTTATCTTTTTTAGTTCATTTACCATGAATTATTCTCAATGAGCGGACTGTGAAAACAAAGGATTAGAATGAGACATTAGTTCTAAGGGGATGGC